CCGGGAGGCAGAGCTTGCAGTGAGCTGAGATCCGGCCACTGCACTCCAGCCTGGGCAACAGAGCGAGACTCCGTCTCAAAAAAAAAAAAAAGAAACACAATGTAGGCCAGGTGCGGTGGCTCACACCCGTACTCCCAGCACTTTGGGATTTTGGCTGAGGCAGGAGGATCAACTGAGCCCAAGAGTTCAAGACCAGCCTGGGAAACATAGTGAGACCCCGTCTCTATAAAAAATAAAAATAAAAAAATTAGCCGGGTGTGGTGGTGGTGTTCCTGGAGGCTGAGGTAGAAGGATCGCTTGAACCCAGGAGGTTGAAGGTGCAGTGAGCCATGATAGTGCCACTACACTCAGCCTGGGCGAGAGAGTAAGACCCAGTCTAGGAAAAAGGAAAGGAAAGGGAAGGGAAGGGGAAAGGGAAAGGGAAAAGGAAAGGAAAGAAAAGGAAAGACAACATAATATACATTCACCTCTTAGAAATAACAACACGTACTCACTTCTATTAAATCTACAACTCAATACAAACACCTACATTTTCCTTTTAGAAATACAACCTAAGACAACACACCGACTTAGGCGCACACATACACTATTCTTTCAAAAACAATCTGTACACACTCCCCTTTTGCAAATCCCACCTAACACACGGGTATATTCTCTTAGAAATAAAAGCCAAGCCCGGGCACAGTGGCTCATGCCTGTGATCCCAGCACTTTGGGAGGCCGAGGTGGGTGGATCAGTTGAGGTCAGGAGTTTGAGACCAGCCTGGCCAACATGGTGAAACCCCGGCTCTACTAAAAATACAAAAGTAGCCAGGCGTGATGGTATGCGTCTGTAGTCCCAGCTACTCAGGAGGCTGAGGCACGAGAATCGCTTGAACCCAAGAGGCAGAGGTTGCAGTGAGCCAAGATCACACCACCACGCTCCAGTCTGGGCGACAGAGCGAGACTCCGTCTCAAAAAAAAAAAAAAAAAAAGAGAAAAAGCCAACCCACGCAGAAACTAACTCTGTCTCTCCCACTCCCCAAATCACTCACATTCAGACCATCTCCTTGCACTTGACCGTGACACTCATTGTCCCCCGAACTCACACAGCCCAACTCCCCACAATGTGCCCAACGCACCTTCAGATGCACACACTCCCAGGATTCACTGTGGATCCCTCACCAGTTTCCCCACTTCCTCTTCCTCCCCCTCCACGCCTGGCCAGCAGGGACTCCCACACCTACACGCCATGCACTCATGAATACTTGCATTCAGTAGGAACAGAGAGCTGTGAATATGCGTAGAGGGATGCCACATTCTCACACTCTTCACTCAAGCCACTGCATCCACCATAAGGAGCCCAGCGGTTTCTGCACAGGTTGCACACACACGATCACATAAAGGGTCCTGTACATTTTGTGCACCACAGACTTGATCATTTTTTTAAAAACTAAACTATGCCTAGCTCATTTTTGGTTTTTTGTAGAGACGGGGTATCACCATATTTCCCAGGCTAGTCTAGGACTCCTGGGTTCAAGCAATCCCCTCACTTCAGCCTTCCAAAGTGTTGAGATTACAGGTATGAGCCACTGCACCCGGCCAATCTCTATGTGCATGTGTATGTCACACCATACCTAGTCTCACACCTCACTCACAAACATCATAAATGGTTGAACTCACAACCACACAGGCTCATCAAGAGTCATCCTGACAACCACAACCATTCTTCACACAATTTTGCCGATGTAACAACCTCCCTCCATAACCTCAGACACAGCCTTACACACACCACTCCACAGCCAGATGGACAACCACAGCAACAAACACAGCTTAACCACAGCCATCCAGCACTCGGGCTGTGTCCCAGACACATAGCAGCTCCCACCCTCACACAGAGCCCTGGGTGCAAAACCGCACAGCTGATAACCATAGGCACAGTCCCACACACCGATCCCTGGTGCTGACCCCCTTTTCCATCCGGTCATCTGCTCAGAGGAGCACCCCACCTAAATGTCCGCGTCTCCACTCCCATCTCCCACACTACCAGCCCCACAACAAACTCTCCATTGCACACCACTGCCAGCCACGGCATCAATGCAGGTCACACACCCTCCAGTTCCTCTCTACACACACACACACACACACAGCTTTACACACCTCCACACCTCACTCATCCAACCCCAAGGTTCCACACACACCGTCCCATGAAACAGTCCCGCTTCTGGACACAGTTCCGCCCACCCCATACACCATCAGTGACAATCAAAAGTCAATCATAGTCACCTATCACTGATCCAGTGCCACGCACTGTCCACCACACACACTAACAGGCAGAAAGACAACCACAGCTGCACAACCCCTTGGTCAACATTCACACCTAATCCTACAACCAGTTCCACTCCCTGCCATAAACACAGCCACACACACAGCCACACACATGCACATCAGGCCAAGCAGAAAGTTGACGACAGTCGCACTCGCTCTTGGTCATAGACATAAAGTGCTATTGACAATCCGATTCTACACACACACCATTCCCGTCAGAGGTCGCCCACATTTTCACATTGCTGAAGGTGTCACATCGTACACACAGTCGCATCACAGGGTTACACGGAGGACAGTCGCTTTCACCCTCATACCCACAGCCTGACACACTCTCTTGCACACACACAAAGCCTGACACACACACAGGCAGGCAGGAGGCTCCCATCGTGGCCCAGCCCCGCAAACCGCACCACCTTACCCCGGCCGGCCGGGCCCCGCGCACCAGGCTCACCCGCCGTCACAAGGGCCCCCTCCTCCCTCCTCCCTCCCTCCCCCTAGGCCCCGCCCCGTCCTCGCTGTTTACCTGCGCTGGGGTGGGGGGCACGCGGCCCCAGCCAGGCCTCCAGACCCCGGAGAGCCGCAGGACGGGGCAGGGGGCATCTGGGAGCCCCAAGGCCCTTCCCCGTCGCAGGACAAGTGGGCCCAGGGTTGCTCCAGGCCCCATCTCACCCTTCGCTCCCGCCCCCCATCATCGCGGCTCTCCGAGAGTCCCGCGCCCCACTCCCGGCGCCCACCTGACTGCGGGCGGCTCCAGGCCCCGCTTCGCCCCACTGCGCTCGGTCGAGTCCCGCAGGCCAGGCACGCCCCGCCGCTCCCGCTGCGCCGGGCGTCTGGGACCGCGGGCGGCTCCTCCGAGGGGCGGGGCGGCTGGGAGCCATGCCCCCGCAGGTGAGCCGGCCACGCCCCCCGCCCGCGGGAAGTTCAGCCTCGTGGCTCCGGCCCCGCGGGAATGGCAGAACTTAGCACGCGGAGCGGGTAACCTCCAGGGCACCTCGAATCAGGGTGATTGCAGCGCAGGGGCCTTGGCGAAGCTAAAACCTTGGAAACGTTAGATCCCAGACCGGTGGCTTTCTTGCAGTGCCTGCCGCGGAGCCTTTTTCTTGTTTGCGTCGCCTGCTTCGATCTCTCTTCCCACAGATCTCATTGTCTTTAGGTCTCTTCTCAAAGGCCACCTCCTCCAGCAGGCCTTCCCTGATTGCCCCCTTCTAAATGGCACCCTTCCACCAAAACATTACATACTCCTCTTGATTTTGTTCACAAAACTTTTCAGGGCCTAAAATTTTTTTATTTATTGAGAGGGAGTCTCGCTCTGTCACCCAGGCTGGAGTGCAGTGGTGCGATCTTGGCTCACTGCAACCTCCGCCTCCCAAGTTCAAGCCATTCTCCCATCTCAGCCAGCTGAGTAGCTGGGACTACAGTTGTCCACCACCACGCCCGGCTACTTTTTATATTTTTAGTAGAGATGGGGTTTCGCCATGTCAGCCCAGGTTCGTCTCGAATTCCTGACCTCAAGTGATCCTCCCGCCTCGGCCTCCCAAAGTGCTGGGATTACAGGTGTGAGCCACCGCCCCCGGCCCCTAAAGTTATTTTATATAATATATATCACATCATTATGTTATATAATATACATTACGTTATTGGTAAGAGAATGTGATATCTAAGAATTGGGCTTGGGGTTCAAATCTGATTCTGGCACTCACTTGCTGTGCAGGCCTTGGGCGAGTAACTTAACCTCTCTGTGCCTCAGTTTCCCTAGTCAATAAAATGGAAATAGTCTAAGGCTTTGAGAATTGAATGTTAACTAATACAGGGACAGTACTTTTTTTTTTTTTTTTTTTTGAGACACAGTCTTGCTCTGTCACCCAGGCTGGAGTACAATGGCGCTATCTTGGCTCACTGCAACCTCCGCCTCCCGGGTTCAAGTCATTCTCCTGTTTCAGCCTCCCGAGTAGCTGGGATTATAGGCACCCACCATCATGCTCAGCTAATTTTTGTATTTTTAGTAGAGACTCGGTTTCACCATGTTAGCCAGGCTGATCGTGAACTCCTGATCTTAGGTGATCCGCCCACCTCGGCCTCCCAAAGTGGTGGAATTACAGGCGTGAGCCACCGCGCCCAGCCAGGACAGTACTTTTATCAGGGCCTCGCACATAGAAAGTACTTAGTAAATACTTGCTACTGACTGTATATTTATCCTCTAGAATGTCAGCTCTGAGGGCAGGGCTCTATATTGTCACCACTGTATCTTCAGCAAGAGCCTGGCGCAAAGTTGGTGCTCAGTAAATTGTGACTGAATGAAGGAATCAAGTCCTAGAATAGTAAACTGGCCAAAGCTGGATGGACATGATTCTAATATAACTTGAGGACGGCACAGTGGCTCACACCTGTAATCCCATCACTTTGGGAGGCCGAGGCTGGTGGATCACTTGAAGTCAGGAGTTCGAGACCAGCCTGACCAACATGGTGAAACCATCTCTACTAAAAATACAAAATTAGCTGGCCGTGGTAACACACGCCTGTAATCCCAGCTACTTGGGAGGCTGAGGCAGGCAAATCGCTTGAACCCCACAAGCGGAGGTTGCAGTGAGCCGAGATCATGCCATTGCACTCCAGCCTGGGCAACAAAAGCGAAACTCCATCTCAAAAATACATATATACATACATACATACATACATACATACATACATACATATTTGGTTCGATGCTCGCTGTACCCTGGTCACTGCACTATGGGATGCCTCCAGCAGAGGGCGCTGCTGGTCCGTAGACCAAACGCCAGACTCCGCACAGATTCACACTCGCTGGGAATTGCAGCCATCGTGCCCCCTACTTCCCTATTGTCTGAGCCCCAGTGCTGATACTTCCTCCTCCAGGAAGCCCTTTCTTACATCCCAGGTTTCCAGCCTTTTAGGCTCCCATGTCCAGCCCTGTCAACTCTGGGTCATCAGTGTTGGGGTACAGGCCCGTCCCATATTAGACTATGAGCCCCAAGAAGGGAGGAGGCGGCCAGGGGCCATGTCGGTCTCCACTGTGTCCCCAGTGCCACCCAGCACAGGTCCAACACAGACAAGGCATTTGGGAGAATGGGTGCTGATTGAATCATGGAAATAAAAATTCGAACTCATATCCTAACTAATCCAGCTTTTTTTTTTTTTTAAGACAGAGTCTCGCTTTATTGTCCAGTGGCACAATCTTGGCTCACTGTGTAACCTCTGCCTCCTAGGTTCAAGCGATTCTCCCACCCCAGCCTGCCGAGTAGCTGGGATTACAAGCATCCGCCATCATGCCTGGCTAATTTTGTATTTTTGTAGAGATGGGGTTACCCCATGTTAGCCAGGTTGGTCTTAAACTCTTGACCTCAGGTGATCCACCCACTTCAACCTCCCAGAGTGCTGGGATTCCAGGCGTGAGCCACCACACCCGGCCTACTCCAGCTTTTTTTAAAGACAGGCGTCACTCTGTCACCCAGGCTGGAGTACAGTGGCAAAATCATAGCTCACTGCAGCCTCGATTTCCTGGGTTCAAGCAATGCTCCCTCCTCAGCCTCTCAAGTCCCAGGTAGCTGGGACTACAAATGCACCACCATGCCCAGCTAACTTTTGTTATTTTTCGTAAAGATGGGGGTGGGGGGGTCTCCCTTTGTTGCCCAGGCTGGTCTTGAACTTTTGACCTCAAGCGATCCTCCTGCCTTGGCCTCCCAAAGTCCGGGGATTACAGGCATGAGCCACTGTGCCAAGCTCCAGCTCGCTCTTTCCTTCCTTCCTCTTTCTTCTTTTCTTTTTCTTTCTTTTCTTT